TTTTTTTTTTTTTTTTCGGTTTTTTTGTTTGTTTGTTTGTTTGGTTTTTTTGTTTGTTTGTTTTTTGTGGGGACGGAGTTTCGCTCGTTACCCAGGCTTGAGTGCAATGGCGCGATCTCGGCTCACCGCAACCTCCGCCTCCCGGGTTCAGGCAATTCTCCTGCCTCAGCCTCCTGAGTAGCCGGGATTACAGGCACGCGCCACCATGCCCAACTAATGTTTTGTATTTTTAGTAGAGACGGGGTTTCACCATGTTGACCAGGATGGTCTCGATCTCTTGACCTCGTGATCCACCCGCCTCGGCTTCCCAAAGTGCTGGGATTACAGGCTTGAGCCACCGCGCCCGGCCTTATTTACTTTTTAACAACAGCCATCCTGACTGGTGTGAGATGGTATCTCACTGTAGTTTTTTTTCTTTTTTTGCATTTCTAGAGTGGTTAGTGATGAGTATTTTTTAATACTCACGTTTGTCTTCTTTTGAAAAGCATCTGTTGATGATTTTGCCTACTTTTGTTTTTTGCCTACTTTTTAATGAGGTTTTTTTTCTTGTAAACTTAAGTTTCTTATGCGTTCTGGATATTAAACCTCTACCAGAATCACAGCAATATTTCCTTTTATTTTGTAGTTGTCCGTTTAGTTTCCTTTACTGTGAAGAAGCTCTTTAATTAGGTCCCATTTGTGAATTTTTGCTTTTGTTCCAATTGCTTTTGGTTCTTCATCATAAAATCTTTGCTTCATCATAAAATTCCTATGCCTAGAATGGTGTTTTCTAGGTTATTTATCTTCCAGGTTGTTGTTTTTTTTTTTTTTTTAACAGAGTTTTGCTCTTGTTGCCCAGGCTGGAGTACAATGGTGCAATCTCAGCTCACCTTGGGTTCAAGCAGTTCTCCTGCCTTAGCCTACCGAGTAGCTGGGAGTACAGGCATGCACCACCATGCCTGGCTAATTTTGTATTTTTAGTAGAGATGAGGTTTCTCCATGTTGGCCAGGCTGGTCTCAAACTCCCAACCTCAAGTGATCTGTCCGACTTGGCCTCCCAAAGTGCTGGGATCACAGTTATGAGTCACTGTGCCCGGCGTTTTTTTTGTTTGTTTTTTAATAATTTTAACTTTTAAAATTATTAAATTTTAAATGGCTTGCGCCTGTGATCCTAGCACTTTGGGAGGCCGAGGTGGGCGGATCACCTGATGTCAGGAGTTCGAGACCAGCCTGGCCAACATAGTGAAACCCCATCTCTACTAAAAATATAAAAAATTAGCCCGGCATGGTGGCGGGCGCCTGTAATCTCAGCTACTCAGGAGGCTAAGGCAGGAGAATTGCTTGAACGCTAGAGACAGAGATTGTGGTGAGCCGAGATTATGCCATTACATGCCAGTCTGAGCAACAAGTGAGACTTTGTCTCAAAAAAAAAAATAATAATTTTAAGTTTTGCATTTAAGTCTTTAATTCATCTTGAATTGATGTTTATATGTGGTGTAGGGAAGACCAGTTTCAATCTTCTACATAGTACTAGCTAGTTATTCCAGGACCATTTGTTAAGTAGGGAATTTTTCCCACATTTCTCTTGTTAGCATTTTGAAAGATCAGATGGTTGGAGGTGTGTGGCATTATGTCTGGGCTCTCTATTCTTTTACATTGGCCTGTGAGTCTGTTTTTGTACCAATACCATGCTGTTTTGGTTATTGTAGCCCTGTAGTATGCTTTTAAGTGGGGTAATATAATACCTCCAGCTTTGTATTTTAGCCTAAACTTGCCGTGCCTATTCAGGTTCATTTTGGTTCCATATAAATTTTAAAATAGTTCTGTTAAGAATGTTTTTGGGACCATGGTGCGCCAGAGCGGAGTACGAGTCTGAGGCTGAGGGAGTCATGGCAGGACAGGCGTTTAGAAAGTTTCTCCCACTCTTTGACCGAGTATTGGTTGAAAGGAGTGCTGCTGAAACTGTAACCAAAGGAGGCATTGTGCTTCCAGAAAAATCTCAAGGAAAAGTATTGCAAGCAACAGTAGTCGCTGTTGGATTGGGTTCTAAAGGAAAGGGTGGAGAGATTCAACCAGTTAGCGTGAAAGTTGGAGATAAAGTTCTTCTCCCAGAATATGGAGGCACCAAAGTAGTTCTAGATGACAAGGATTATTTCCTATTTAGAGATGGTGACATTCTTGGAAAGTACGTAGACTGAAATAAGTCACTATTGAAATGGCATCAATGTGAAGCTGCCCATTCCACTGAAGTTCTGAAATCTTTCATCATGTAAATAATTTCCATATCTCTCTTTTATAATAAACTAGTGATAACTGATGACAAAAAAAAAAAAAAGAATGTTTTTGGTAGTTTGATAAAAATAGTATTAGATTGGTAAACTTCTTTGGGCAGTTTGACCATTTTAATTATATTAATTTTTTTCTATCCGTGGGCATAAAATGGTTTTCCTTTTGTTTGTGTAATCTGTGGCTTTTTGTTTTTGTTTTTGTTTGAGATGGAGTCTTGCTCCGTCATCCAGGCTGAAATGCAGTGGCGCAATCCTGGCTTACTGCAGCCTCTGCCTCCCAGGTTCAAGTGATTCTTCTGCCTCAGCCTCCTGAGTAGCTGGGATAACAGGCGCACACCACCACGGTCGGCTCATTTTTGTATTTTTAGTAGAGAAGGAGTTTTACCATGTTGGTCAGGCTGGTCTTGAACTTCTGACCTTCTGATCCACCCGCCTCAGCCTCCCAAAGTGCTGGGATTACAGGCGCGAGCCACAGCGCCCAGCCTGTTTTTTTTTGTTATTTGTTTTTTTTTTTTTTTTTTTTTTTTTTGAGACGGAGTTTCGCTCTTGTTACCTAGGCTGGAGTGCAATGGCGCGATCTCGGCTCACCGCAACCTCCGCCTCCTGGGCTCAGGCAATTCTCCTGCCTCAACCTCCTGAGTAGCTAGGATTACAGGCACGTGCCACCATGCCCAGCTAATTTTTTGTATTTTTAGTAGAGACGGGGTTTCACAATGTTGACCAGGATGGTCTCGATCTCTTGACCTCGTGATCCACCCGCCTCGGCCTCCCACAGTGCTGGGATTACAGGCTTGAGCCACCGCGCCCGGCTGTTATTTGTTTTTTTCTGAGACAGTCTCGCTCTGTCTCCAGGTTGGAGTGCAGTGGTACAATCTGGGCTCACTGCCACCTCTGCCTCCCAGGTTCAAGCGATTCTCCTGCCTCAGCTTCCCGAGTAGCTAGGACTATAAGTGCCCACCACCACTCCCAGCTTATTTTTGTTTCACCATATTGAAACAATGGGTTTTCACCATGTTGGCCAGGATGGACTTGATCTCTTTTTTTTTTTTTGAGACGGAGTTTCGCTCTTGTTACCCAGGCTGGAGTGCAATGGCGCGATCTCGGCCCACCGCAACCTCCGCCTCCTGGGTTCAGGCAATTCTCCTGCCTCAGCCTCCTGAGTAGCTGGGATTACAGGCATGCGCCACCATGCCCAGCTAATTTTTTGTAATTTTAGTAGAGGCGGGGTTTCACCATGTTGACCAGGATGGTCTCGATCTCTTGACCTCGTGATCCGCCCGCCTCGGCCTCCCAAAGTGCTGGGATTACAAGCATGAGCCACCGCGCCCGGCGGACTTGAACTCTTGACCTCATGTTTCTCACACGTCGGGCTCCAAAAATGCTGGGATTACAGGCGTGAGCCACTGTGCCCAGACGTAATCTCTGACTTCTTTAAGTAGTGTTGTGTCATTCTTGTCATAAGGATCTTTCTCTCTTATGATAGCTGTATTCCTAGATAGTCTATTCTTTTTATGGCAGTTGTGAATGGGATTATGGTTTTGATTTGGCTTTTGGCTTGGATGTTGTTGATGTAGAGAGATGCTACTGTTTTTTGTACATGTACTTTGTATCCTAAAACTTTGCTAAAGTTGTTTATCAGTTTAAAGAGCTTTCCTGCTGAGACTATAGGGTTTTGAAGATACAGAATCATGTAATCTTCACACAGGTTTAGTTAGACTTCCTGTCTTCCTGTTTGGATGCCTTTTATTTCTGTCTCTTCTCTGATTGCTCTGGCCAGGACTTCCAATTCTTTTTTTTTTTTTTTTTTTTTGAGACGGGGTTTCGCTCTTGTTACCCAGGCTGGAGTGCAATGGCGCGATCTCAGCTCACCGCAAACTCCGCCTCCTTGGTTCAGGCAATTCTCCTGCCTCAGCCTCCTTAGTAGCTGGGATTACAGGCACGTGCCACCATGCCCAGCTAATTTTTTGTATTTTTAGTAGAGACGGGGTTTCACCATGTTGACCAGGATGGTCTCGATCTCTTGACCTCGTGATCCACCCGCCTCGGCCGCCCAAAGTGCTGGGATTACGGGCTTGAGCCACCTCGCCCGGCCCAGGACTTCCAATTCTATTTTGAATAGGAGTTTTGGGACAAGGGATTCTTATCTTGTGCCAGTTTTCAAGGAGGAATGCTTCCAGCCTGTGTCCATTCAGTATGTTGGCTGTAAGTTTGTTATAGATGACTCATTATTTGGAAGTATGTACCTTCAATGCCTAGTTTGTTGAGGGTTTTAAATGTGAAAAACGTTAAATTTATTGAAAGTGTTTTTAGCATCTATTGAGATAATCTTTTGGTATTTGTTATTAGTTCTGTTTATGTGATGAATAACATTTGTTAATTGTATGTTGAACCAACCTTGCATCCCAGAGATGCAGCCTATTTGATTATAGTGGATTAGCTTTTTAAATGTCCTCCTGAATTCAGTGTGCCAGTATTTTGCTGAGGATATTTTCAGTGTTCATCAAGGATGTTGGCCTGAAGTTTTCTATCTTTTGTTTGATCTGTGCCAGGTTTTTGTGTCAGAATGAGGCTATTCTTATATAATAAGTTGAAAATAAGTCCCTTTTTTTCAATATTTTGAAATATTTTTAGTAGACGTGGAACCATCTCTTTTTTGTACATCTGGTAGACTTCAGCTAGGGATTTGTCTGGTTCTTTGGTTTTTGTTTTATTACTAATTCAATTTTGGAGCTGTTATTGGTCTATCCAGGGATTCAGTTTCTTATTTGTTTAGTCTTTGGAAAATGTATCTTTGCTCCCAGGTTATAATTCTCAAGCTTGGCCCAAATAAACTCTCCACTTATATTCATGTTGCTTCAGCTTTTTCCTTTTAGGTAGTCATATCACTTAGAATAAGCTAGAGCAGCCTCTTTGAGGGGATCTCTCCTTTGATTGTACTCCACTTGCTGTAACACCCAAGAATGCAGAGTGAGGTTGATCTCCCCTAGAATCTGCACATAAGATCTGGCCTCTTCCTGGGATTTATAGGACAGGGCCAGACTTTAGACTGAGAATGTACAGAAAAGCAGCAGGAGGCATTTTCTACCTTGTGAGATGTCAACATAGCCATCTGAAAGCCCCCCTTTAGAGAGGGTGGTTCTTTAAGCTTTTCAGATCTTGTTCAGTGATTTGCCGCAGTCATGTGAGAGGTTCCAAGTATAAATAGAATCTGATGACTGAATCTGCAAGTGTAAACAAACATTTTAAGAGTGAGATATCAAATCATAAAGTATCCATAGCCGTGACCACAACTATACCTACCTGTAAAATGTGATACTGGAGTAGAGTATTCTTGTCCTTCTCCTTACCTGAAAGCGAGCAAATTGGGACAGGTGATCAGTTCTAGAGCCCCACTAGGTCATTTTCTATTTAGAATCAGCCTGAATCTGTCCAGCCTGGTGTATCATTGGGCCATCAGCCCAGGGTCACTAAGAACCCTCTCACAATCACTTAGGTGTCTTTGAGACATTTGAGGATGTTTAGGGCAGAATTGTGTCAGGCTGACAAGAGTGATTAATTCTGCTTCTGTCTTGGTGTAAGAGAAATGAGTCATCCTGTGGTTTTTTTTTTTTTCTTCTCTCCTGTCATACAAGAGATAGCTTTAGTTAGTACCCAGAGAGACTTTCTCAAGTTTCCTAGTACTTGGGTGAAAGCACTAAGAGGTGTGGTGACTCAAACAGATAAACTAATTGTTTTCATTTTATATGGTCATTCAAAGAACAGATGAAGCAGTCATGGTTCCTACTATCCAGGAACGTTTTGTCTAGACTAACAACCGCATACATGGTTGAATTAAGCATCATATGGTTGATACAATGAATAGATGTGTTCAAAAAAAATTTGTGCCACTTTTCTATGTTGTTACTTCTGATATCATCACCTGAATGGATATTTATGGACTGAAGATTTGTTATTATTTGTGTTTCTTTTACTTTGCTAAGTATATTTATCTTCTAGTATAATTATTCTAAAGAACTTTAAGAGATTTGTTTAAATTGCTTATTAGTATATGTTATAAAATTGACAGGGGAGTGGCAAACATAGATTAAAGTTACATAAGCTCTGAGATTTAAGTTTCTCTTAGGTAAGCTTAGGAAAAACAGAACTGGAAATACCTTAGTGGCATAGAGAACAGAATTCTACATAGGGTCTTCTCCCCACCCAAATTCTGTTCAGATTCACCCTCTTTGGAGGCCTTATTTAGGTCTGGCCCTACTCTAGAGACTTACCTCACAAAACTGATTTATAAAAATCAGAGTTTTGGCTGGGTGTGGTGGTCACACCTGTAATCCCAGCACTTTGGCAGGCTGAGGCAGGCCGATCACGAAGTCGGGAGTTTGAGACCAGCCTGACCAACATGGTGAAACCCCGTCTCTACTAAAAATACAAAAATTAGCTGGGCATGATGGCACATGCCTGTAATTCCAGCTACTCAGGAGGCTGAGGCAGGAGAATCACTTGAACCCGGGAGGTGGAGGTTGCAGTGAGCTGAAATTGTACCCCTGTATTCCAGCCTGGGTGACAAAGTGAGACTCCAGCTCAAAAAAAAAAAAAAATTAGAGTTTTGTCTCGTGAATCCTGCTGCCTTTCTAGAGCTGGTGCTCACAATTTTCTGAAACCCAAAAATAGATAAATGAGAGAAATAAACTATATGTTGTAGGATCTTAATTTTTAAATTTTGTATTAAAACCAGTGCATCAATGTCAGAGAAACAGGAAGAAATAGAAATGCCAGACCTTTTATCTACATCCTTGGAATTATTGAACACTTAGTATCAGCTTCCAGGGTGTTATTAGGATTAAATCACATAATGTGTTATTCCTATCACAGTGCTCTGTAACATACCCTTGAGCACATAGTACCTGCTTAATAAACACTGCATTAGTACACATGTGCATGTTATTTTCCAAATGCAGACTTATTCAGACATTGCTGCCTTCTGTTTGTTCTATAAACTTTAAAGAGCCAGCAAAGAATATAAAACTTTAGGAGTTTGACAAGAGATTGGTTGTCTTCATTTGCACCACAAATATTTGTGTTGTGACAAGAGTGCTGAGTGTAAGGGACTCTGTGCTGTGCCTGCTTTCTTTATCTGATACTAATAATGAGCCTAGGAGAGCAACATCAGCATTGACAGGGAACTTGTTTGAAATACCCATTTATGGACCCTTTTCAAACTTGCAGGTTCACATTACACAGAGCGGGGCTAAAATTACCAAGTGATTTTTAAGCTCATTAAAGTGTGAAGAGACATTGTTTAGCTAAGTGGTTATCAGCCCAGTCTTGTTTTTTGTTTTGTTTTGTCTTTTTTTTTTTTGAATGGAGTCTAACTCTGTCGCCCAGGCTGGAGTTCAGTGGCACCGTCTCAGCTCACTGCAACCTGTGCCTCCTGGGTTCAAGAGATTCTCTTGCCTCAGCCTCCTGAGTAGCTGGGATTACAGGCACCTGCCACCACACCCAGCTAATTTTTGTATTTTTAGCAGAGATGGGTTTCACTGTGTTGGCCAGGCTGGTCTGGACCTCCTGATCTCATGATCTGCCAACCTCAGCCTCTCAAAGTCCTGGGATTACAAACGGAGACACTGTGCCAGTGCCCAGCCTGTTTGTTTGTGTTTTTTTTTTTTTTTTTTTGAGACAGAATCTCATTCTGGAGTACAATGGCATAATCTTGGCTCATTGCAACCTCCGCCTCCGAGGTTCAAGCCATTCTCATGCCTCAGCCTCTCAAGTAGCTGGGACTACAGGTGCACGCTACCCTGCCCGGCTAATTTTTTGTATTTTAGTAGAGACAGGGTTTCAACTGTCTCATCCCAAACTCCTAAGGTCAGGCAGTCCTCCTGCCTTGGACTTCCAAAGTGCTAGGATTACATGTGTAAGCAACCACACCCAGCCAACTTTTGTATTTTTGGTAGAGCCAAGGTTTCACCATGTTGGCCAGGTCTGGTCTCAAACTGGTCTCGAACTCCTGACTACAGGTGTGAACAACCATGCCTGGCCTCAGCTCTAATTAGGATTACATGGCCAATTTGTGGAAATCTCTGTACTTGTGCCCTTTCCACGGATTCTATTTGTTGTTGTTCTGGGTAGAAGTATCCACGTTTGTTGTTTTTTGAGACAGAGTCTCTGTCGCCCAGGCTGGAGTGCAGTGGCACGATCTTGGCTCACTGCAACCTCCACCTCCTGGGCTTAAGTGATTCTTCTGCCTTAACCTCTTGAGTAGCTAGGACTACAGGCACAAGCCACTACGCCTGGCTATTTTTTTTTTTTTTTTTGAGATGGACTTTCGCTCTTGTTACCCAGGCTGGAGTGCAATGGCGCGATCTCGGCTCACCGCAACCTCCGCCTCCTGGGTTCAGGCAATTCTCCTGCCTCAGCCTCCTGAGTAGCTGGGATTACAGGCACGCACCACCATGCCCAGCTAATTTTTTGTATTTTTAGTAGAGACGGGGTTTCACTGTGTTGACCAGGATGGTCTAGATCTCTTGACCTCGTGATCCACCCGCCTCAGCCTCCCAAAGTGCTGGGATTACAGGCGTGAGCCACCACGCCCGGCTTTTTTGTATTTTTAATAGAGACAGGGTTTTACGCTGTTAGCCAGGATGGTCTAGATCTCCTGATCTTGTGAACCTCCTGCCTCGGCCCCTCAAAGTGCTGGGATTACAGGTGTTAGCCAGCGTGCCCAGCCCCATGTATTAATGAAGTGCCTCATGTGACTAATCTAAGCTGAGACAAAAATCAAGTATGAGGTCTTCAATACACATTAATGAGAGCTAAGTGCCCCCTTTGCATCAAAGAGTGGTCACAAGGCCTGTTCTGTTTGGGTTTGGTAGGGATATATTCATAGAGCAGTTCATTGTTCCTGAATCTCTTCTGTTCTAAATGACAGAAATGGGTGGACTTTTTCTGCAAGTGTAGGTTCCTCTGTTTGTGTGTGCAATGCTGGCAGAGAAACAGATGGTGCTGACATTTTTAAAGGAGTGTTCTCAAAATGCAGGTGTAACTTTCCCAGATAATGTTATCTAAAAAGGATTTTCAGAAAAGGAAAAAGAAAAAATGGCCTTTTTTGTTTTTTTTTTTTTTTAGCTGAACATGTCTCAGATCAAGAAGAGCTGTGTTCACTCTGCCTCCTGGAGTGCCACGCCTTTAGTACTTCCAAAGCTTTACTTATGTACTTGTGTTTTTCTTCCCTAATGTGTTTAACTACATTTTAAAATTCTTTTTTTTCTTTTTATTTTATTTCATTTTTTATTTTTATTTTTGAGACAGAGTCTCGCTCTGTCGCCAGGCACCAGGCTGTAGTGCAGTGGCGCAATCTCGGTTCACTGCAATCTGCATCTCCCGGGTTCAAGCAATTCTCCTGTCTCAGCCTCCCCAGTAGCTGGGGCTACAGGTGCGCGCCACCACGCCCAGCTAATTTTTATATTTTTTAGTAGAGACGGGGTTTCACTATGTTGGCCAGGATGGTCTTGATCTCCTGACCTTGTGATCCGCCCGCCTCGGCCTCCCAAAGTGCTGGGATTACAGGTGTGAGCCATCGCGCCCGGCCCTTTTTTCTTTTTAGATGGAGTTTCACTTTTGTTGCCCAGGCTGGAGTGCAATGGCACGATCTTGGCTCACCACAAACTCAGCCTCCCGGGTTCAAGCGATTCTCCTGCCTCAGCCTCCTGAGTAGCTAGGATTACAGGAATGCGTCACCATGACCAGCTAATTTTGTATTTTTTTTCATAGAGATGGGTTTTCTCCATGTTGGTCAGGCTGGTCTCAAACTCCTGACCTCAGGTGATCCGCCCGCCTTGGCCTCCGAAAGTGCTGGAATTACAGGTGTGAGCCACTGCATCCGGCCTAAAGTTCTTATAATATTCAAGGCTCTCTGCAAAATATTTCTTTGCTATATTTCAGAGCTATCTCTAGATTGTCTACATCGTGGCTTCTTATATGCCATGCAGAATTCCTACCATAAATTTGTAATCTGCACTATTAAAAAAGTTCCCTTTGTGAATTTAGTTAAACATGGGAAGCTGTGGATACTCAAGATTCTTGTTGGGGGAAAGCTGGGGTCTTTAGTAAAGATGGAGAACATGTAGTGTTGAGGTTTCATCTGTGATCTCCATTAACTCTATGCAGAACAGAATTAAGACAGTGCTTATTTAAACAGGATAGCATTTATTACCCAGACAGTTCTGAAAAAAAAAAAATTATTAGGAGAACCTGCTCTCTATGGTGCTAAAGAAAGACTGCCTAAAATCACTATTAAAAATAACAGAACATGGGAGATATCTGAATCTTGAATTTTGAATAAAACTGATGAATCTTTATGGTTAAATTCAGACTCTAATTTACTTTTTGAGGGGCAATATCTCAGCAATTATGCTGTGTTCTTATGTACATCAGCATATACTAAAAATTTGATCTAGTGTGATTGATGTTAATAATTTACTTGGTTGCAGAGCTCTCTGACAGATCTTTTTTCACTAGAGTTAATTATTTTTCTTTTCATTATTAAGTATTTTTATGCAGCTAACCTGCATAAACCATTACATTTAATCTGGCACCTGCCCTTTTTTCTTAGGTTTTCTCTGTACATATCTGTCTTTGGAAAATGAAGGCTCTTATCTTTTTTTACAGGCCAGAAAAAAACTGGTAAAACATAGGCTCTTCCATTTACTGGATGTTTGACAAAATAGTTTTCTTAGGCCAAAAACACTGGCATTACTAGTGAGCTTGTTAGAAATTCAGAAATTCAGACTTTATTCCGGATCTTCTGAACAAAAGAAATCTGCACAACAGGATCCCCAGTTTCTTGTTCACATTTAAAGCTGAGAGGTACCTTCTAACTCAACATGTCTATTTTCGTCTGAAAAATATACACAACTCAAACTTTATGATGTAAATATAGCCCTCAAAAGTGTACATATTTTTGTTTATGCCCTTAATTTTATACTTTATCATCCAGAGAAGTATCATATATACACCAGGGTTATGGATTTTTTTGCCATCCTCTTCTCTCAGAGTTAGAGAAAACATTAGATAATATTTCTGTGTTAAAAATTATTGGATAATTTTAGTGATTTCTATAAGTCAGAACCAATTCTCTTTACTTTTTCATTTCACTTTAATTCAAATAATAAATTCGGCCCATGGCTACTTGGTAAATATATGTGTCTGTGTGCTTGTTGTGTTTTTCAGGGGCCGTTGACATTTAGGGATGTGGCCATCGAATTCTCTCTGGAGGAGTGGCAATGCCTGGACACTGCTCAGCAGGATTTGTATAGAAAAGTGATGTTAGAGAACTACACAAACCTGGCCTCCTTGGGTGAGAATAACTTTAATACACAATTCCTAATATACCCTAAGCGTTTCATTTCTCTTTTTTTGTAGAATAATTTTTGGTAATTTATGCTTTGCGTAAATGAGTTTCTGATTCCTGTTTTTAAGAAAATCCTGAGGATCTGTCCATGTAGAAAAGAATTTTTTCAAAATGTTTTATCTTGATGTTGCACATTCCTGGGCTGATCTGTATCCTTCACTCTAGATTAGTGGTAATTCCAGAAATTTAGTGGCATAAAATATTGTTTCCTATATCTTTTTTTTTTTTTTTTTTTTAGATACAGAATCTTGCTCCGTCTCCAGGCTGGAGTGCAGTAATGCAATCTCGGCTCACTGTAACTTCTGCCTCCTGAGTTCAACTGATCCTGCCTCAGCCTCCCAAGTAGCTGAGAGTACAGGTGCATGCCACCACGCCCAGCTAATTTTTTTTTTTTTTCTTTTTTTTGAGATGGAGTCTTGTTCTGTCACCCAGGTTGGAGTGCAATGGCACAATCTCAGCTCACTGCAACCTCGGCCTACTGGGTTCAAGCAGTTCTCTGCCTCAGCCTTTGGATTACAGGCACCCAACACAAAGCCCGACTAATTTTTGTATTTTTTTTTTTTTTTTTTGAGACGGAGTTTCGCTCTTGTTACCCAGGCTGGAGTGCAATGGCGCGATCTTGGCTCACCGCAACCTCCGCCTCCTGGGCTCAGGCAATTCTCCTGCCTCAACCTCCTGAGTAGCTGGGACTACAGGCACGCACCACCATGCCCAGCTAATTTTTTGTATTTTTAGTAGAGACGGGGTTTCACCATGTTGACCAGGATGGTCTCGATCTCTTGACCTCGTGATCCACCTGCCTCGGCCTCCCAAAGTGCTGGGATTACAGGCTTGAGCCACCGCGCCTGGCCTAATTTTTGTATTTTTAGTAGAAAAAGGATTTCACCATGCTGGCCAGGCTGGTCTTGAACTCCAGACCTTAAGTGATCCACCTGCCTCGGCCTCCCAAAATGTTGGGATTACAGGCATGAGCCACAGCACCTGGTCGTCCATTTCTTTTTTTTTTTTTTGAGTCGGAGTTTTGCTCTTGTTACCCAGGCTGGAGTGCAATGGCATGATCTCGGCTCACCGCAACCTCCGCCTCCTGGGTTCAGGCAATTCTCCTGCTTCAGCCTCCTGAGTAGCTGGGATTACAGGCACGTGCCACCAGGCCCAGCTGATTTTTTGTATTTTTAGTAGAGACGGGGTTTCACCAAGTTGACCAGGATGGTCTTGATCTCTTGACTTCGTGATCCACCCGCCTCAGCCTCCCAAAGTGCTGGGATTACAGGCGTGAGCCACCGCACCCGGCCCTGGTCGTCCATTTCTTAAAACCTATTTACCATCACCAATTTTTGAAATTGGTATTTAGGTGAAATACTTAAGTGAAGTTAAGAACCTATAAATTTAAAATATTTTCTAAATACTTAGAAATTTTTGTCATAAATTTGTATTTTAGGATTAATTTTCTAGAGTATTCTACATCCTCTTTAGTAAGCACAGTACCAGGTTGGTAACTGAAGAATGTGAGAAAGATTCATGTTTTTTTTTATTTTTAATAAAGCAGGTATTGCTGTTTCTAAGCCAGACCTGATCACCTGTCTGGAGCAAGGAAAAGAGCCCTGGAATATGAAAAGACATGAGATGGCAGATGAACCCCCCCCAGGTAGGTGAGAGTGAACACAACAGACAGCAAAAAGAAAGCCAATGCTGAAAATGTGACTTGGGAAGCTGTGTTCCAAAGCAAATATTTTCTGGAAAGCTGGAGTTTTTTAAATTTTACTCTCACACTGGGGCATCTTCTGTCCATGCTTTTAAATTCTTTAAGGATTCGACTTTCCCTTTAGTGATCTCCCTTCGAGTTTACCGTCAGAACCAAAGTCCTCTTCATGGCATTCGAGACTGCACAGTCTGGCTGCTTTTCCATTGTTTTGGGGAACACACAAATGTCTGTATGATTTTGAGAAACTCTCTGTTAAACTTTTTCTTTCTTCTTCTTTTTTTTTTTTTTCTTTTGAGACCGAATTTTGCTTTTGTTGCCCAGGCTAGAGTGCAATGGCACAATTTCAGCTCACTACAACCTCTGCCTCCCAGGTTCAAGCAATTCTTGTGCCGCAGCTTCCCAAGTAGCTGGGATTACAGGCACCCACCACCACGCCCAGCTAATGTTTTGTATTTTTAGTAGAGACAGGGTTTCACCATGTTTGTTGGCCAGGCTGGTCTCGAACTTCTGACCACAAGTGATCTGCCTGCCTTGGCCTCCCAAAGTTCTGGGATTACAGCTGTGAACCACTGTGCCCAGACAAACGATTTTCTTAGTTCTCTTTTGCATCATATCTGAAATATGCAAGGGTAGTGGTTTCTGTTCCATTGTTTGTTGTTGTTGTTGTTGCTATTTTTCTGCACATTCCATGCTGTTTTTATTAATATATTTTTGAAATAGAGTTTCAAATTATAAAGTATGATTTCCCTCTTCTTTGTTCTTTTTCCTCAAGATTGCTTTGGTTATTTGAAGCTTATTGTTTCCTGTAAATTTTAGAACTGTATATTCCATTACTGTGAAGAAAAATGCCACTGAAATTTTAAAAGGGAATTTAGTGACTCTATAGATTACTTTAGGTAATACGGCACTTTAACAATTTTTATGTTTTCAATCCATAGACATGAAATATTTTTAAATTGATTTTTGTCTTTTCTAATTTCTTTTATTGATAACTACATCTTTCATTGTAAAGATTTCTTAGCTCCTTGGTTAAATTTATTCTAAAAAATTTATTATTTTAATGCTATTTTAAATAAGATTGTGTTATTTCTCTATTAGATAGTTTGTTTTAAGTGTGTGGAACAATAACTTTTTTTTTTTTTTTTGAGTCGGAGTTTCACTCTTGTTACCCAGGCTGGAGTGCAATGGCGCGATCTTGGCTCACCGCAACCTCCGCCTCCTGGGTTCAAGCAATTCTCCTGCCTCAGCCTCCTGAGTAGCTGGGATTACAGGCACGTGCCATCATGCCCAGCTAATGTTTTGTATTTTTAGTAGAGATGGGGTTTCACCATGTTGACCAGGATGGTCTCAATCTCTTGACCTTGTTATCCAGCCGCCTCGGCCTCCCAAAGTGCTGGGATTACAGGCTTGAGCCACCACGCCCGGCGGAATAATAACTTATACTTGTGTGTTAATTTTATATTTTTGCTAATTTACTGGGTGTATTTATTAGTTTAGACAAATGTAAATATACTGTTTATGACTGTTAATGTTTTTACATATGAGATCATATGATCCACAAACAGCAGCTTTTTACTCATTTGTCTTTAATTTCTTTTCTTTTTTTTTGTTTGTTTGAGACAGTTTCTTGTTGCACAGGCTGGAGTGCAATGGCATGATCTTGGTTCACTGCAACTTCCGCCTCCTGGGTTCAGGCAATTTTCCTGCCTCAGCCTCCTGAGTAGCTGGGATTACAGGCACCCACCACCACGCCCAGCTAATGTTTTTGTATTTTTAGTTGAGATGGAGTTTCACCATGTTGGCCATCTGGTCTTCAACTCCTTACCTCAAGGGATCCCCCTGCCTTGGCCTCCCAATGTGCTGGGATTACTGGCGTGAACCACCACGGCCAGACTTGTCTTCAATTTCAGTGGCTTTTAAAAAATGTTTTTGATTCATTATTCTACCACATACTTCCAGTGAGTGCTATGTTAAAATAGAAGCATTGACAATCGGCACAATATAGTTTTGCATTGATGTGTGTGACTTTGAAGGAGAAAACAACTCCTCAAGCTTTTATAAACTGGTTTTAGGGCTGAGTGCAGTGGCTCATGACTTTACAGTCACTTTTACAGCTACTCCCTCACTGGGAGACTGAGGCGGGTGGATCACCAGGTCAGGAGTTTGGAACCAGCCTGGCCAACATGGGGAAACCCCATTTCTACTAAAAATACAAAAATTATCTGGGCATGGTGGCATGCACCTGTAATCCCAGTTACTTGTGAGGCTGAAGGAGGAGAATTGCTTTAGCCTCGGAGGTGGAGGCTGTAGTGAGCCAAGATTATGTCATTGTACTGCAGCCTGGACAGCAGATTGAGATTCTGTCTCAAAACAAACAAACAAGCAAGCAAACAAACAAACAAACAAACTGGTTTCAGGAGGTAAAGATCTTTTTCTGTCATGTCTCCAGGATCATAGAATGCCCTCTGAGTTTGCAGTGAAGAGGGGTTGTAGCTTTATCACGAGGCTGCTGGGTCTGCACTAGGGTCCACCTTTAGTTGGCTTGTTACAGGGGCTTGGGTAGTTGTAATTCCCATTTTATTTTTGGACAGATTGAATATCCTTCAGGATTTTGATCTTAGAGCAGACAATAGGGCAGATTTCTGCAGTCAGGATCATATATAACGGCCGTTATATCAGGATGTGAATGAGTATGGCTTTTACTGAGTACCAGAGGGCATTTCCACAGGTCACCGTGTGGGTTTCTCTGTAGGCACAACTGGCCTTGAACTGTGGCTCATGGAGCTGGAACTGAGTCATTGAACTATCTCAGGGACCACAGGAAAGACCAAGGTCTGCAGGCCTGCCTGCATGGCTGTAAATGGGTTATCTCCCTTCAGGCCTCTGAAAGGCCAGGATCTCTCCCAGATTGTGACTTGGAGAAATTTGGGTTGGTTACAGAGTAAGTTCTGAATTCTCAGGGGAAGCAAGTTGAGTGGGCCATTTGTTGGTTTGTAGCCAAGACCAGGGTTCTTGTAGTTTTTCAACTGAATGAGGACCTGCCCTCTGAAAAGAACACTCCTCAATCCTGGGCTTTAGCAGAGTTCCACAAGTCCCTCCCTGGATCTCAGAGCTGTCTTAAAGGTACTTATTTTGGAGATGAGGTCTTGCTTCATAACCCAGGCTGGTCTCAAGATCCTGGCCTGAAGCAGTTCTCCAACCTCAGTGTACCATGTAGTTGTCGTTCCAGGTGTGAGCCAAGATGCCTGGTTCTCTCATGAAGCCATTTTTGCAGGGATAGCTAACAAATGTTCTTGCTTTGGAGAGGTTAAGCAAATAGAGAACTTTTCATTTTTTTTTTTTCATTATACTAATTACTCTCTATACATTTTTACTTTCTATTTTACATCCCAAGCTTGTCTGTAATTCTAGATTCAGACATTTAGGACAATATGGTAGAATTTACATGTTATGCTTGAAGTAAATTACATAATTGGTAGGTACTCCTATTTACTAAAATAGTTACTTATAATTTAAGTTTGCTGCAGGCAAAAAGGAATTATAGGATTTTCATCCACTTTCTTCAGCCTGTATCTAAATTATAACATAATTTATTGCCAAATATTTGTTTTATATATCAGAGGCTGTAAGTATATTTTGCAAAACGTAAGTATTTTAATTTAAAGCTTTTCGTTTCGAAAGTTAGTTAGATTATATCAGTTTCATATTGTGTAAGAATATCATATATTTGAAATATGAGAATTATTGCTAATTCCTTTTAAATATGTATTTATTAAAAGTTTCTCATTCAAATATTCTCTTTAGAATCGTACTGTATATTCTCTGGAATTTTACTACCCCATGGTACATGCCAGTGATTCAAAATACCTGCCTTTCATGAGTACATAGAGTCAAATACTGTAGTTGTACAAATTCTTTTTTACTGGTATATCATTGTTGCATCACAGATTTTATGAGTAAATGTGTCATTTATTGTTGTGCAGTTTCATAGCAGTGTTTTGTTGGTGTAGGTTTCTTAACATATGGGGTTTTTTTTGTTTCACTTATATATTATAATTTTAGACAGTTTGCAATTCTGTTTATCTCTTATAAATCAGCCATGTGTCTGTCACTATTAGATGTGTGTCTGTTTATTTATAAATAAGGCCCCAATATTGGTTATGGCTTATCTTGTATATATTCTTTCTTAGCTAATTCTTTTTTTTTTTTTTTTTTGAGACGGAGTTTCGCTGTTACCCAGGCTGGAGTGCAATGGCGCGATCTCGGCTCACCGCAACCTCCGCCTCCTGGGTTCAGGCAATTCTCCTGCCTCAGCCTCCTGAGTAGCTGGGACTACAGGCGTGTGCCACTATGCCCAGCTAATTTTTGTATTTTTAGTAGAGACGGGGTTTCACCTTGTTGACCAGGATGGTCTCGATCTCTTGACCTCGTGATCCACCCGCCTCGGCCTCCCAAAGTGCTGGGATTACAAGCGTGAGCCATCGCGCCCGGCCAGTTCAAGCAATTCTTGTCAGCCTCCTGAGTAGCTGAGATTTCAGGCATCAATCACCATGCCCAGCTAATTTTTGTATTTTTAGTAGAGACGGGGTTTCACCATGTTGTCCAGGCTGGTCTCGGGGCTCCTGACCTCAGATGTTGAGTTTCACTTTTGCTTTTTTTTTTTTTTAATTGAGACAGTCTTGTTCTGTCGTCCAAGCTGGAGTAAAAATGGCCATACTGCCAAAAGTAATTCAGTTCTTATCCCAGTAAACTGTTCCTGATATCTCTCACAAAATTAGAAAAAATTATTTTAAAATTCATATGAAATCCAAAAAGACCAGCCTGACCAACGTGGTGAAACCCAGTCTCTACAAAAGTACAAAAATTAGCAGGACATAATGGCAAGTAGTAGTAATCCCAGCTATTTGAAAGGCTGAGGCAAGAGAATCGCTTGAACCTGGGAGGCAGAGGTTACAGTGAGCCAAGATTGTGCCATTGCTCCCCAGCCTGGGTGACAGAGACTGTGTCTCAAAAAAAAAAAAAAAGGCAAATCCAAGAATATATTTTAAAAAAAACACCGGTGGCTCACGCCTGTAATCCTAGCACTTTGGGAGGCCAAGATGGGTGGATCACCTGAGGTCAGCAGTTCAAGACCAGCCTGGCCATCATGGTGAAACCCCATCTTAAAAAAAAAAAAAAAAAAAAATAAAAAAAAAAGAGTGTGAATAAAAGGGAGGAATTAGCCGGGCGCGGTGGCTCAAGCCTGTAATCCCAGCACTTTGGGAGGCCGAGGCGGATGGATCATGAGGTCAAGAGATCGAGACCATCCTGGTCAACATGGTGAAACCCCGTCTCTACTAAAAATACAAAAATTCAGCTGGGCATGGTGGCGTGTGCCTGTAATCCCAGCTACTCAGGAGGCTGAGGCAGGAGAATTGCCTGAACCCAGGAGGCGGAGGTTGCGGTGAGCCAAGATCGCGCCATTGCACTCCAGCCTGGGTAACAAGAGCAAAACTCCGTCTCAAAAAAAATAAAAAATAAAAAATAAAAAATAAAAATAAAATAAAAAAAAAAAAAACACATGGGCTGAGTAAAGTGGCTCACACCTGTAGTACTGGCATTTTGAGAGGCCAAGCCAAGAGGATTGGTTGAGCCCAGGAGTTCCAAACTAGCATGGGCAACATGAGCCTGTCTGTAAAAATAAAAATAAATAAAATGAAAATAAAACACATTCTTCAACTCAAGGTTCAAAAAGTTTAATTTTGTTAAGTTGTCTTTATATCTACAATTATTATGTTGCTATATATTTCTTGCTTTACCTTTGCCAAAATTTTCTTTATATATTTTGGAGTCCTGATGTTATATATACATATACATATAAACATAAATAGGTAGTTATGGTAGTTATAGATTCTTTTTTTTTTTTTTTTTTTTTGAGACGGAGTTTCGCTCTTGTTACCCGGGCTGGAGTGCAATGGCGTGATCTCGGATCACCGCAACCTCCGCCTCCTGGGTTCAAGCAATTCTCCTGCGTCAGCCTCCTGAGTCACTGGGATTACAGGCACGCGCCACCATGCCCAGCTAATGTTTTGTATTTTTAGTAGAGACGAGGTTTCACCATGCTGACCAGGACGGTCTCGATCTCTTGACCTCGTTCGTGATCCACCTGCCTCGGCCTCCCAAAGTGCTGGGATTACAATCATGAGCCACCGCGCCCGGCCAGTTATAGATTCTTGACCCACTTAGCCATTATATAACATCAGTGTTTGTCTCATGTTAGTACTTGACTTAAAGGGTATTATATCCAATATAATTACTACCACCTCACACAATTGTGGTTACTATTTGCATGGAATATAGATTCTTTTCATACTGTTACTTTCAGCCTATTTGACTCAGTGCTAAAATGAGTCTGCTATATACAGCATATTGTGTGCCTTTTTACTTAAACTACTTAGGCATCTTATTCCTTTTTCTTTTTATAAATTTATATATTTTTGAGATAAAGTCTCACTATGTCAACCAAGCTGGTTTGCAGTGGCATGATTACAGCTCACTGCAACTTCAACCTCCCAAACTCAGATGACCTCATTTCAGCTTCTGAAGTAGCTGGGCTGCAAATATGTGCCATCATGCCTAGCTCGTTGTTTTTGTTTGTTTTGTTTTGCAGGGACAGAGTTTTGCCATGTTGTCCAGTCTGGTCTCAAATTATTGAGTTAATGTGATCAGCCCCCCTGGGCCTAACAAAGTCCTGGGATTACATTTTTTTAATTAAATAGTTGAATTAATTTATGTTTAAAATGATTGCTTAAAGAAATAAAGTTACTATTACCAGTTTCATTGTTAGTGGGTTTACTTTTTTGTGTGTTCTGGGATACACGTGCAGGATTTACAAATTTGTTACATAGGTAAACATGTCCCATGGCGGTTTACTGTACCTATCAACTCATCACTTAGGTATTAAGCCCTGTGTGCATTAGCTATTTATCTTTATGCTCTCTGTTCCCCAGTATGACAGGTCCCAGTGTGTGTTGTTCTCCTTTATGTGTCCATGCGTTCTTATCATTCAGCTCCCACTTATGAGTGAAACTATGGTGTTTCGTTTTGTGTTTCTGCATTAGTTTGCTAAGGATAATGGCTTTCAGCTCCATCCATGCCTTCACAAAGTACATGATCCTTACTCTTTTTTTTTGAGATGGAGCCTCGCTCTGTTGCCAGGCTGGAGTGCAGTGGCACAATCTTGGCTCACTGCAACCTCTGCCTCTGGGGCTCAAGCGATTCTCCAGCCTCAGTCTCCCGAGCAGCTGGGACTACGGGCATGAACCACCACTCCCAGATAATTTTTATATTTTTAGTAGAGACGGGGTTTTACCATGCTGGCTAGGATGGTCTTGATCTCTTGACCTCATGATCGTCCCACCTCAGCCTCCGAAATTGCTGGGATTACAGGCGTGAGCCACCACAACTGGCTAATTTTATTCTTTTTACGGTTGCATAGTATTCTGTAGTATATATGTACCACATTTTCTTTATCCAGTCTGCCATCGATGGGCATGTGGGTTGATTCCATGTCTTTGCTATTGTAAATAGTGCTGCAATGAACATACACGTCCACGTATCTTTATAATAGAATAATT